ACTAAATACAAAAATGAAATAGGAAGTAGGTCCGACAGATAAATACAACAAGTGAGGCATGTAGGTAATGCAGCTAATTAGAAGGCATGGCGCCAAGCCATAACAATTATTATTAGTAATAATAGTTCTTATACGCTTAAAAATATAATTGTTATAGTTTGTTCAATTTTAGTTGTTATTGTAGTAAATTATTATTTATATCCCTTTTTTTAACTCTTTAAACTTTTATAGTCAATATTATTAATGATTATAACCGGTAACCGTATAAATGATATATAGTCTTATATAACAATTTTGTCACAGGTTGACATTGGCTATATAGTGTACATTCTAAGTTCTGCCTTACAAGCAGAACATCATCCTATCTTTTGTAGGTTTGGCCGTCTGGGCATATGCACCCTAGCCTGTCATAAATTTCCTAATTATAAAACGAATGTGTCCGCTTGTAAATAATTTTAATATTAAGTTCGTTTTAGTATTAACGGTTTTATAATATTACAATAATGTTCTTAATTACAGATTAAATGATAATTTATACCCTTGTTATATAGATTCGCTTACGGTGCCTGTAGGCGCTACTATATATTAAAAAGAAAAAGAAAAGAAAGAAAAATGATATAAACTTATCCTTGTTAGTACTGTAGATTTCACCTTTGTATACGGATCAATAGAATGGATTCCATGGATGAAAATTGGAACGCGCCCCAAGATCAAAAGTTCGGTCAAGAAGACCCGACTCCTAATAAGCCTCAGAGGCCGGATGTCACCTTAGCTACCAGCCTATAACGTGGCAACCCCTGCTAATGCAAAGCTAACGACCTGCATTACTGCATAACGTTGAGACGAGATCGCCGAACTAAAGAAATACCGAAGCCGTAAACAAGATAGGGGTCGGGTGAATCGACCTTTAGGCAAGCCTGTGGCCGGTGTGGCGGATGCAATGCTCCGGAATATCATGGCGCTTGGGGCATCAACCGCCATCCAGTCATCCTTTCGATGCACCGTGCATCCGAATCATCCACTCATCGAAGCCCCAGTCGTCAACGTTTGCCGCGTTACCATCCTCCTGGGCAACTTTGAAGACTTGAAGGTGCAGATGAGGTTGCCGCCTAGCATGTCGCTTGTTTTGCTCAGATGGAATCAGAGCACAGGGATGGCTTCGAAAAGAAAAACCAAATGAAACTTGAAGAAAGGGGTCTTGCCAAGACCGAGTTTAACGTCCTCAAAGCACTGTCATGCAAGGCAACTTACCCACTGTACAGTGTTAATAGGCGAGTGTTCCGAACGTTACGTCTGAACAGCTGCAACGGAAGACCGAAGAAGCAGTTACCCCGGAGTTGTTGACGCCGGGGTCTCTGGCTTCCTTTAATTTGGGCGGATAGAGCACCCGTTCAGGGCCTCTATCAAGGTTACCGAATTGTTGCGCCCCATTTGGCAGGTATATCTATGATGTCTCAGTTCAGCATGTATGTAGCCCCATGCTGTTGCCCTTAACGTTACTACTTCACGAGACGGCTTGTCGGTGTGCAGACAGGCCTTTGAGTAGGACGGCAGTTACCGACGAGAAGTTTGTTTGCCAGGAAACCCTGATTTTGACGATCGTATGAGAAAAGGCTACGTTAGCGAGCACACAACAATGAAGCCTGAAATATACATGCATAGCGGCTGAGGGTTGACGCAGAGAAGGTTCATACTTAGCTGAGCGGGATAGAGGGGTAGTTTTAATGGGCCAACACCACCTAGGGCGCTAGATAGCGCTAGGCTAGTACCGTCCTAAGTAGGCTGAGGGAAGCCGGCGAGCAAAGCGAGACCTCTTCATGACTTGTCAGTGACGAGATAGGATATCCTCACTGTACCGCTCGGTTCTGTTTTCCTATCCAGGCTGATATCGCTCGGCTGAGGTCTGGATATGAGACACCCGGACAAGCCTTCCTTGTCATCCATCATGACCCAAGAACCGGGGTTCGGGGTTCGTGAACACCATCCTAGCGGTGCCTTTGGATGCACACCGGGGGCATGGGGTGCGATCAAAAGGTGTGGACCGATGTGCCCCCAAAACTCTCCGACAGCACTTGGCGGGAGGTGATTGGGAGACAAGACGGTAAAGGAGGGGATGGTATTTCGACGTCTGCACTATCGATTTCCGTCGAGAAGCCGATGTGAATTGATGCCTGCTTATATTGTTAGCATCGTTACACAGTTTCTCAAAAGCTGGGCTATCACTTCTGTGGCACAGATACTACTGACAAGGCTCTTGTCCTGAAGCCAGACACCACGTTCATCACGTTGAGCCCGCTCCGCCCGATCTTGCTGAAGGTTTTTCTCTTACATATCAAACGTCCAAGTCACGCTCACCAAGACGAGACATAATCGCCTCCTGAGTGTGACGAGATATATCTGCTTTGTCGACTTTGGCACTTATCTTCCCAACGGCTCGTACACAGCAATTCGTGCCAACCGCCATCATGAGTTGGGCAACTGAGGACAACGCACAGCCTATTTCGTGCTTGGAGTGTCGTCGTCGGAAGCAGAAGGTAAGTTCTGAGGCGCTCGTGGTGTTTCAACACCTCCAGCCTCTGCCCGATCTTCAAGACTTCATGATCAAACCTGTCTAACGTTAAACGTAGTGTAATCGTCAGTTTCCATGCAACCATTGCTCGAAGAGAGGAGTCGCCCATCTTTGCCGATTCGTTCCGAAGAAAGCCAACAAAAGTGACTCAGCCTCTGACGGGGGCTCGTCGAGGTAAGCCATACCATAGACACCCAATTGTAGCGGCGATGGGAACTTCTTTCTGACAGTGGCGTACTCCGCAGCGTGTCAAAGAAGCGGGGTCTGGAGTCTCCTGAAGAAGAGTCCTATTTCGACGGGAACGGCTACCAAAATGGTGAGAACAACGAGGCCGACGAGATCGATGCTCTCAATGCCCTCGGCTATATGCCACACACCCACCACGTGTTGCTTGGTAAGGCAAGCAAGGGTACGGCTGATGCGGACGATGAGCCTGTTCAGTCGAAGGAACTTGTAACTGCCATCGCGTCAATGCCTGCCAAGCCCTATATAGGTATGCCACTCCTTTTGATGTTCCCGTTGCGTCGGAAACTGTTACTGACCATTAGCAGACTGCCTAGTGGACAACTGGCTCAACGGTGCAAACCATCACTATTACGCTTTGTATCGACCTCAGTTTAGGACTCAGTATGATGGATGGTGGGCGACACCGGTGAACAAGCGTACCCCAGAGTTGACCAGTCTGATCCTGCGCGTTTGTGCCTGCTCAGCCTTGTACATCCTGAACGCCGGCGTCAAGGACAGACTGGAGCGTGAGCTTGGGACTGATGCGTTGACACTTGCCACCACCTTGCACACAACAGCGGAGGGGCTCAGTAAAACGATACCTTCTGGAAAAGGGGGACTAGCCCATGTCCAGCAGCTCTTCCTGACCGCTTTCTGGTACAAGTCGGCCGAGAGATGGACCGAAGCGTGGCATGCCCTAGGAACTGCCATTCATGCCGCATACGAGATAGGCCTTCATCAAGATTCTTTATCTGATGACATGTCGGAGTTTGATCGCGAGATGAGAAGACGTCTTTGGGGCATCCTGTATATGTGGGACTTGTAAGTGGAATATCCTGCCCCCATCCAGACGATGAAAGTGCTGACAGACTGGCAGCGCCTTGGGTTCGATGCTTTCTCGGCCGTTACTGGTCAACCACGCTGACTGCACATTTGTGGAGCCGACGTTGGCTCTCGACAAAGACCCCGATAACCCAGATAAACCGTCTCCGTTCTTGCATATGAATCTCCACAGCTCCTTGTGTTTGAAGATCGGCAGCAGAGTTCAAGGTCCCGTGCCGTCTGAAAACTCCATCCCGCCCGAAGTAAATAAGGCCTTGGTGAGCAAGACCTTGAGAGACGTTGTACAGAAGTGGCTGGACGAACTGCCTGCTGCATATGCTCTCAAAAACCCGGACACTCAATGGGACGTGGAGAATGACTGGATCGTGTTCCAACGTCGCTATCTTCACCTCATCGGCCACATGTGCTTGTTCGATCCTCTCAAGCAATTCGTGACGCGAAATTCCGCAGAGCCAATGTCTGATTTGGAGCTGGAACTTCGTGAGTCGGGCGTGGTAGCCGCACTAGGCCTCATGGAAGTGTCTCGGACGTTTTTCGATACTTTGGTGTCCAACGGCGCAAAATTCCACTATGCCGTCTTCTGCATCTTTGACACCACAACGGTCCTGTGTTCTGGGCTGGTTCACGACGAAGCTCGGAATTTGCCGCACAGAGAAACTGTCCTTGAATCCATCAGGCGCGGGTTGAATATGCTGCATGAGTGTATCGGCGAGTCAAAGACGGCATTGAGTTTGTGCCGAATTCTGGAGAAGATGGTTGTGAACTTGCCCCTTAGCTATCGAGAGAAGGGTCTGATGGGCACCACGAAGCGGATGAAGTCCAAGAACAGGTCTCCGAGTGGTTCTTTGGCTGCTGGTGGGCTCGAAGTCGCGGGCACTGCTCGGCAGGGCAGAAGCATCGATTCGGCCATCCACTTGGGTGAAGAAGCCCGCCAACTCCGTGACGCCGGCAGCACAGTTTCCGGCGAACCCTCACCCGTCGCCAACACAAATCCAGCGGCACCAGAGGCGGCAGTTGGAGGTAATGTTAGGCCCAATCATGCTGAGCTCCTCCAGGTGTGCGGCCCGCCGGCGCCGGCGCCAGTAGATGCAGCAACAGCGTCATGGCAGACCACCTTTGATCCTATCGGAAACTTCCAGCAACCTTTGTACGATATGGATCAAATCAACGATCCAGGTCAATACGGGCAGCTCGACTGGCAGATCCAAGAGGATCACTTGAACAATCTGGACCTGTTCAACGGCGTGCAACTACTTCCGCTCGACGGAGGGTTCCGTCTGTGCTGGAGCACTGGGACTGGGAGGGTCTTCAACTTGGAAACCCTAGGCTGTGGGACAGTCCTTCTCCGTTGGCTTCGCTTTGAGCTCCGGGGGCAGATATGTATGGCGATACATAAACGCTGGTCCTCCTGTGCCTGGGATGTTAGGTCTTAGTCCATCCAACGGATATGAAGAGAAAGAGAATGGGTTGTTTTTTATACAAAATAAGTGCGAGGTTCTGTTCTGTCTCAGAAGAGGAGGAACCTTGTTGCACTGAAGAGCCGTTGAAGAGGCACCGATCGGGGTTTTGCTTTGGGTAGAGACTGCATTAGTACAAGCAAGGAGGGTAAATGGTTAGATCAGATCCGTAGTCGGTGATTTGTGTCTGTTGATAGGCAGGACATCAACGACGAACGTGGGTTGCAAATAATACAAAGAGTTTGGCAAAGGATGGCTCCGACAGTTGTTGAAGAGGTGAAATGAGGCCGGGTGTCTGAGATCAAGCGGAGGGCAACGCCAGAATTGCTCTGGGTTCCAGTCGGTTTCTGCAGTCAGACCGGAAAAGCCTTGGAGCTTGCATTGTTCTTGCCTCTGTTTCATGGTAAAGGTCTTGAAGAAACCAATATGTATTTATTTTCCTCTGGAAGGACCAAAGATGTTCAAATTTCGCAACTGCAACCCGTAAACTCACCATTCGGGGCAGGTGCATGTGGGCTGATGGGGTCCGAACTCGCTCGGGTCCGAAGACTTTCGGACAACGTCCCATTCGTTTCCGAGTGAAGCCTATGTGGGCCGATAGCATAGAATGAAACACCGGCTTTTGGTACGACGATGAGCGGCCGCCCATGAAACGTCGGAAGATCGAAAATTTTGTCCTCGTTGAACTGACTAAACCCATAGCTGTTCATTCGAATTTGCGCATGATTCACTTTGGCGTTGAGTGAAATCATTCGTGGCGGTGTCCTATGGGTTGCGGTTGTAGGTATGCTTAGGGCATGTCAAGGTCCTTGTTGACATTTTAGTGGTGTTTTGTCGGTAGTGAGGGTTGCGCCATTCTGCAAGGGCCTCGCAGGCCTAGTGCATGTCAGGGCGATGGAACTCTTTTGAAATCAGAAGCGAAGTATCTTGAAGAAAGCAGGCGTTGTAGAGGATATTAGGTATGTCCAACCAGATGAGTTCTCCGAATAGCCTCAAAAGATTTTGTCAAAAAGGAAGTTGCCCCAAAGGCCCAGTTGATTCAAGCAGTCGTAGCAAAATGCCTGCCCGGTGGAATGTTCCTGCCCGGAAAGATGGAGGGCTGTGCCCACAGCAGGGGCAGCTTCCGTCTGCCGTGGAAATCCATTGCGGCCCCCTGAATGCCGAGGTGGAGCACCGTTACAGTGGAAAACATTTGCCCTTCAGGGCTCCGATAATGCCGGAGACGGCGACGTATGCCCGCAGAGTCACACCGGAAGAGGCCTGTGGTCAGCCCGGCGAGCTCTAGACCTCTTCCGGTGTTTAACGGCGAATCTGACAGGAATTCCTCGCCACTTCAATCGACCATGCCGGCCCAGTCCTTAAGAGCAGTTGCCCGTCATCTAAACATCGCCGGCCGACACACTTTACGCTCACCTTCCAGAACCCCGGTGGTTCTTTCGTCTGTTCAGCATTCCTGCAGTTTCTCGTCAACAACGCCCTTCAAGATGAGCGTACCAAATGTGCCCAATGCCTGGGTTGGCAGCGCTGGCCCGGGTGGCTTCGATCTCAGAAGTAAGGAATCTGAAAGGATTTCGAGAGTCCAAAGGTCATCGGCTAACATCATTTCAGGTGACACCATGACCACTCCCACGGCGTCCATGCTTGCCGCTATCCAGTCCTGCTCTCTGCTCGACGATGTCACGCAAGAAGATCCCACCACCTCCGACCTTGAGGCCCACTGCGCTGCTTTGTGTGGCAAGGAGGCTGGCCTCCTCGTTTTGTCAGGGACCATGGGCAACCAGCTGGCTATGAGATCCTTGCTCACTCAACCGCCTCACGGTGTGCTCTGTGATGCCCGCTGCCACATTGTGAAATATGAGGCTGGAGGGTGAGGCCCTGTCTCTCTTTCCCTCTTCGTGCTTATTGCTTACCGGGACGGGCCCTAATCCATATCATAGTGTCTCATCCCTAACGGGGGCTTCGCTCAAGCCCGTTATGCCCAGCAACGGCGTCTATCTTACTCTTGAAGACGTCAAGGCTAACGTCTACCTCGACGACGACGTTCACACCTGCCCCACCCGTGTCATCGAGCTCGAAAACACGCTCAACGGCATGATCATGCCGCTCTCCGAAGTGCGCCGCATCTCTGCCTTTGCCCGAGAGAATGGGATCAAGATGCACTGCGACGGCGCGCGCCTATGGGAGACGGTGGCCGCTGGCGCCGGAAGCCTCACCGAGTTTGCTGAGTGCTTTGACACCATCAGCCTATGCTTCTCCAAGGGCCTGGGTGCGCCCATCGGTAGCGTGCTGGTAGGCCCCAAGGACGTGATCAAGCATGCCCGGTGGGTGAGGAAGTCGATTGGTGGTGGGCTAAGGCAGTCGGGCGTAGTGGCCGCTGCGGCGAGGGTTGCCGTTGACGAAACGTTCGGCAAGGGGCCCAACGGCGAAGGCGGCAAGCTGAAGGGGGCGCATATTCTGGCTAAGGAGATCGAGAGGATATGGACGGGCTTGGGCGGCAAGTGCCTTCATCCTGTCGACACCAACATGGTATGGCTCGATCTGAACGACGCCAAGTGCTCGCCGGAGAGGATGAATGAGCTTGGTAAGGAGGCCGGATTGAAGCTAGGGGCACCTCGGTTGGTTATCAGCTACCAGGCCTATGAGAACCGTGAGTTTGTTCTTCCCAGGCTGGAGAGCATCTTCAAGACAATCATGGAGGAGAAGGCGACAAAGGCCGGGGAAGAATTCCAGAAGGCTGAGGGAGAGACGTCGCAATATCGGAGCAAATAGAGTAAGCAGGTATAATGATACCTTCTGCAATTTACCTAATTCAAGCCCAGAGTCTAAGCCTCAACATGAACGGTCGGCCGGTCTTTACATGCATAAAAGGGCCGAGAGAAGTGCATCTTTGAGGTTGGGTTGAGCAGAACCGCCGATGAGCGAATGAAGACAAGACTCGAGCGCAAGGCACCTTCCAAGATGGTGATCCACACGTGTTGTTGATGAATTGGTTTCTTGGCGCATCATCGCCAGCAAGAACTTGTTGATGCCAAGCACAATGTCGTGAAGGTTGCTTCTTGGTGCTGGAATTTCTTGTTTCCCTTTTCAGCTTTCCAATTGTCTCTGTTGTTGCGACTTGAAAGTGTCGATGTCTTTCGAACAAATAGCCCGTGGGCATTTTACATCCTCCGAGGAGATGTAAATACTAAATGGGCTCACTGAGATAACTCAAAGTTCGGGAAGGTGAGTACACCGATTGGCTACTGTTGAATCTGATGTTGATCGAAGAGGGGCGGGTGTTCCTGTCCTGGTGTGATGTTGCTACTGGCGAACTTCAGAGTCAACACCGAAGGAACGCTGTTCTCTTTCTCCGCACTGGGACTTTCCCGCTCTGCCGCTGTCCACAGGCCCCCGCATTTGCTTCCCGCGATGGAGGCAACCCCACTTTTACCCTCCAAGATCCACTTAATGTGCCTGACGTCACCGAGAAGGCCCGGAGGCCGGGTCAACCACAAGTGTTGGAGTCTCCCGCACGCCCCGGATGCGGGGAAGAATGTCTCTTCCAACTTCATTTTTTCTACATTCCAATTGCCAGTGGCTCTGGCGCCGTGACAATTGGTGAGTGGTTAATGTATTGCTCTTTGCATTTTCTCTTATTGAATGTATGCGCCGAGCCAATGCTAAAGACGTGACAAGAGCTTGACCGAGTTACCCATCACCTTCTCCGCGTATTCGGGCGGATGACACCAACGTACATACACTCAGGTCCAGTTCGATTCTAAGCTTTGTCTGCGGGTGTGACAGGCTCTTCAAGGCAAGACGAAATGGAAATATTGTTTACTTAACCTAATGCTGACCCAACATGATGATTGGCTCTGTTTCCACAGCGGAAAGCTTTCCATGTTGCATGACATAGGATGCTTAAAGTGCTTGCAGTTGCTTGCTTCCACAACCGCATGCAAGTAATTGGGGAAACACGAGAACAATACTCTGTCCTGCACATTATTGTTCACTCGGATTGCTGGATTCAGAAAATGAGATACAAAGTTCACATTCCTCACATTCTCCAGAAATGCCTCGTGCTGGGACGTCCCACTCGGGATTGACCTGGACACAAAGAAAACAATGGAACGTGGAGAAATGCGGAGAGGATCAGCGTCACAATCTTCTCTTCGACGAGCTGGGGTGCAGGGAAGCAGGGGAGCAAGCATGACCTCGCCAGGTTGCCATGCTCGCCTACCTCACCTTCGACGCACGTCGATGCTGTTTCCTGGAAGCAGGGCGCTGCATGCAGGTTTCCGTTGCATTGATACAAGTTGGGCAGATTTCCGCAAAGGGAACATTGAATGGTAGGAATGCTTGCCGCTGACGACGAGCTGTTCTGAAGCGAGCCTTCTCAAAGTCGAGTGAGGTCTTGTCACCGGGTGAAAATACTAGACCTAACGGATTTGAAGGTTACATGTATAAAAAGTACTGGGGCCAAGTGGAAAGTTTGCCGAGTTGGCAAGCGCTCCCCACATCATCACCACGCTTGTCATCGGCACCTCCTTCCCGTCCTGATTTTCGCACTGAACTTGTGGAGTTGCAGAAATTGGTAGCATCATCTTCTTCTGGTCTTGCCGTGTGCTGATATAATAAACCTGCTATTCCCCTCTCTTTTCCCCATAAACACTTTTCCAAATTCTTACCGCCACCTTTTGGAATATGAGGTAGTGAAGACATCGACATCTTCCTGACTTCACAACTACCACAAACATGGTATCACGACTCCTTGGGGCAGCCGTGCCTCTGGCTGCTGCCATTCTGCCTGGAGCCCGCGCGTTGTATGCCAATGGCTCTGTAACGGCTCCATGTGACTCGCCAATCTATTGCTATGGCGAGCTTCTTCACCAAGTCGAGCTTGCTCGTCCATTCTCGGACTCGAAGACCTTTGTCGACATGTAAGTGATTGGCCGACATCTGCGAATGATATGAGCACGACATTGACCAGCTTCCCTGTAGGCCCACCATCAAACCCGTCGACGAGGTTCTCGAAGCTTTCAGCAAGCTTACCCTCCCATTGACCAACAACTCGGAACTTCACGAATTCCTCAACACCTACTTTGGACCCGCTGGAGGCGAGCTTGAGGCGGTACCAACCGACCAGCTCCACGTATCCCCAGCGTTTCTCGACAATGTCAATGATGATGTGATCAAACAATTCGTCGACTCGGTCATCAACATCTGGCCAGACCTCACCAGGAAATACGTTGGCGCGGGCGACACATGCACGGGATGCGCTAACAGCTTCATCCCTGTCAACCGTACCTTCGTCGTAGCTGGTGGCCGTTTCCGTGAGCCCTACTACTGGGACTCGTTCTGGATCCTTGAAGGTCTTCTCCGCACGGGAGGCGCTTTCACTGAGATCTCAAAGAACACCATTGAGAACTTCCTTGACTTGGTCGAGGAACTCGGATTTGTTCCCAACGGTGCAAGGCTTTACTACCTCAACCGCTCCCAACCTCCACTTTTGACCCAGATGGTCAGGATCTATGTTGAACACACCAATGACACAAGCATTCTTGAAAGGGCGGTGCCGATCCTGAAGAAGGAGTGGGACTGGTGGGTTACTAACCGCACAGTTGAAGTGACTGTGGATGGAAAGACATATTCTCTCCAGAGGTGAGTTAGAGAGGTAGAAGAATAATCCGGATGGCCCCGAGAATGTTTGGCTAACACCCTTCTCCGCAGATACCACGTCGACAACAACCAGCCCCGTCCCGAGTCCTACCGCGAAGACTACATTACCGCCAACAACAACTCTTACTACGCTACCTCCGGTATCATTTACCCAGAGAAGAATCCTCTGAATGGTACCCAGAAGGCTCAACTCTATGCAAACCTCGCCAGTGGCGCCGAGTCAGGATGGGACTACAGTACTAGATGGCTGAAGAACCCTAATGACGCAGCCCGGGACGTGTACTTCCCTCTCCGCTCGCTCAACGTCCTCGAGACCGTTCCTATCGACCTCAACTCCATCCTTTACCAGAATGAGGTCACCATCGGCAAGTTCCTTGCTCAGCAGGGCAACAAGGACGAGGCCGATGAGTGGGCCAAGAAGGCCGCACAGCGCAGCGAAGCCATGTACAAGCTCATGTGGAACTCGACCCTGTGGAGTTACTTTGATTATAACTTAACATCGTCCTCCCAAAACATTTATGTGCCTGCTGACCCCAAGGTCTTCTCCTTCGAGCAGCCCAGCGGCACCCCTGAAGGCTACCAGGTTCTCTTTTCTATCAACCAGATGTTCCCTTTCTGGACTGGTGCTGCCCCAGACCAGCTCAAGGCCAACCCATTGGCTGTCAAGCTTGCTTTTGACCGGGTCAAGAACTTCCTCGACAACAAGGCAGGCGGAATTCCTGCTACCAACTTCATCACCGGTCAACAGTGGGACGAGCCCAATGTCTGGCCACCCCTCATGCACGTCCTCATGGACGGTCTTCTCAACACTCCAGCCACCTTCGGTGAGGATGACCCGGCCTACCAGGAGACACAGAACCTGGCTCTTCGCCTTGCTCAGCGCTACGTCGACTCAACCTTCTGCACCTGGTACGCCACCGGTGGATCCACGTCGGAGACGCCCAAGCTGCAGGGACTGGGGTCCGAGGCCAAGGGCATCATGTTCGAGAAGTACTCTGACAACTCGACCAACGTTGCTGGTGGCGGAGGCGAGTACGAGGTTGTAGAAGGCTTTGGCTGGACCAACGGCGTACTGATCTGGGCGGCGGACAAGTTTGGTGATAAGCTCAAGAGGCCCGACTGCGGTGATATTACTCCTGCTCATGTGGGCAAGGAGAAGAGGGCGGTTGAGTTGGATGCGTTTGATGCGAAGTTCACGAAGAAGTTCGCTAGAAGGGGGAAGCTTGAGAAGCTGAAGGCCAAGTTCAAGAGGCGCGCGGCTATTTAAGTCCTGTGTTTTGTTGTCGTTGAGGAGGTACATGATTGTTATGATTTGAGTTAATTGACTGCTGTTCTTTGTTCTTTCACCTTAATGAGGGATTCAATTGAGGATCCATGATTTGTGCTTGGCGCTTGTAGCACGAGATACCATGTATTGATAACAACGTTTGAGTCAATATGATTCCATACATGTTCTGGTGAAAGAGTTTCTTACCAGTCTTAAAAATCCGTTGCCATGTGAGATGACTTGCCAGAATGGCGTACTTGCTTGCCATTACACGGTAGATCGAACCACAGGCAGAACACCTCGTGGCCAAACATCACATATGTCGAACATATGGATGATGGGCTGAATAATAAGGTATTTGGAGATAGTGCTGATCTCACGCTACTTCTCTCTAGACGATCGCCACCTCAACCACCGACAAACAATGGGTATAATAAAAATGAAAGAATAAAAGACCTCCGCACTGCATGTCTACGCTATATCCGCACCAAACTGTCCCACCCTCTTCCACTCAACCCACATCATATGTGAAACATGTATGGGATCGACGATCTCATCTTCGAGAGCCCCCCTCTTCCGCTGCGTGTGTACATATGCCCTCCTGTTGTTTCTAACGCTTCCCAGCAAGGCTGTTCTTCCCCACAGTCTGTACTTTTGCAATTGATTCCCTCTGCATCCTAAAAGAGAATTTCTTGGTTGGGCTCTCCCCCGATTCCAGCTCGTTAGCCATCCGCGAAACGTCCGTAGCAGAATAGTTCCCATTTGGCTCCCTGATCACCCGCCATGCGGAACCCTTGCCCGGTCCAAGATTTCCAGTGCTGGGACTGGGATTGGGACTGTAAGGATTGGCAGAGACAGGAGGAGATTCAGGCTGAGGCGATGCCCTTGGATCTGCAAAGATTGGTGTATAATCCTGCTCTTCTGGTTCAGCTTCTTCTTGTTGCCGTTTCCCTGGCTGCTCTGGTTGAGGCGATGCGGTTAGCTTGCGTCGTTTCGCATACTGCACCACTGGCGACTCCTGCTTCTCTTGTGATTCCTCCTCGTCATATTGTCGTTTCCTTGGCTGCTTGTGCTGCTGCTTTTCTCGCTGCTGGTTTGCAGGCTGTCCGGAGGAATTTCGTTTAGGTATTCCCTGTTCCATCTTGCGTTTACACTGGTCAATATAATCACGGTACCGTCCTGACAGTGACGCACGGAATCGAGTAGCCAAATCGGGATCCAACAGCGACTTCCAAACATCCACAGACCTCCTCTGGTTCTGGGTATTGGTGAGTTTGAGTACTTCTCGCCATTTTACCCGAAACTCAGAGACAATATCATCTCCATACCGGCCTAGCGCAGTTTGCTGTTCCGATTTCGAAAACCCGTCTGGGTAGATCAGAGCCTCTGATGCCCGTATGAACCCCTGAGCATGGTCTCGGCTCCCGTTCAAGATATCACTCTTGGTGTCATTTCCCCTTGTCTTCTTCCCGCCAGCCATTTCTTGATGTGGTAGTTTCCTTGTAGTTTCCACATCATGTAACGGTTTTACTGCATAATCGGGAGATGACTCATCAGGACTAGCCTTCGAAGCACGCGCATCAAAGCCAGTTTTCATGTTCACCGTGTCTTGGTCGGCACCAGCGGACAATGCCCGGCTGCCATGGCGGCTGTCAGGTTCAGCACTTGTCCTGATGGTCTCTTGCAAGACCAAATCCTCCTTCTTAGCGGTAAGTCGGGTTTTCCTAGGTTCAAAAAATAGAGTGACAGTCTTGGTTTGTCCAAATGGTTGATTATGTGCTCTTGGCTCTTCCTGAGCTTGGAGTTGAGCTTGGGGCTGCGTCCGTGTGGTGCGGCCCCGGTTGGCGTTTCCCCCTCTCTGGTGGATCCTTGGCCTACCACGGCCACGTTTAGGGGGTCGACCGACGGGCTTAGCGCTGGTAGATGGACCATTTGCGCTCCAATCCGGATCAATATCGACGTTATCATTGTCGACATGGGCGACAACGTTTTCGTAAATGCCATGTGTGACGGTATTGTCAGTGCTATTCTGCGCAACATCTTGCTCCTCCATCTGACGGTCCTCACGACTTCCACCCTTCTAAGGCTCGAGGTGTGACCACTCGGGAATCGCCTTGATTTGCTGCCACATGTACTTCTCAAGCTTGTTTGCGCATTTTGCGTACGGGGTGTTCTCGTTGTTGTACTTTCGGCAGTTGTCGAATATGAGCTTGGCATCCTTGATGAAATCCTCGGGTGTGTTGTATTGATCTTTCTCAAGTTTGTCCTCCATGGTACTCAGGTCCATAGGCTCTTTGATGACATCGTAGTAGTCGTGTACCTCATCTTTGTTAACGGGTACCAGGAAGGGCCAGCTACTGGCATGGTTCTGCAAATCATTGAGAAGGTGCAGCAGCTGGTTGTAGTTGGGCCCGTGGCGTGGCTGACGGGCGAGCTCGTCCATATCCGGACTCCATCCTGAAGCGCGGATGGCTTCAACTGAGAGAGGATCGATAGGCGTTACGCCGTTTTTCCACTGCTTGGGGGGTTGGTGAACAATGTGGGATTTGCTGTAGGCACGAATCTTGGCCTGCACGCACTCCTTCTGCTTAAGTAGCATGCGGCCCATCTCGAGGTAGCGTACTCGCGGAAGCATGCTGCACTGCATTATAGTGCCGCCTTCATAGTCCTTGATGTAGCCCATCCATACTGATTTGTCGAGAGTGATCTCCTTTGTGAATCCTTGTTTCTTGAAATAGCCAATAGCATAGTTGTCGGCGTATGTGAGGAAGTGCATGACGTCTGAAGTGGCCTTGACATAGTCCTTCAAATGGGACATTAGATGCGCACCATAACCCTTGACCTGTTGGTCGGAGGAAATGGCGCAGAAGACGATCTCGGCGAATTGGCGGCCCTTGAATGGTCGGTATGTGATGCCACCAACTACCTCGAGTGGCTTCTTGACAATGGCAATCGACAGATGGGTCCGGTCGTAGACAAGGCGCGCGATGTAGTCCTTTGGCATCTTGGGTAGCTGTTTCTGGAAGATGCACTTGAGGCCGGTAAGAATGATTAGGCTTTCGCGTTCGCCATCGTTGTTGACCACTCGGAACTCGATTTCGCCGTTGCGTTCCTCGATAACGGCGGCCTTCTCGGGGAAGGGAATGGCGGGGATTTTTGGCTTCTTCGTATCCTCCGTCTCCTCAGTCGAGTCACTATGCTTAATTCGCTTCGCCGCCGAGGGAGAGGTAGGCTCCTCGGTAGCCTTTCGCTTGGTGTCTGTAGTCATTCCACACCATGTCAGTGGTGGGCGTGGCAGGGGATATTGACCGAGGGGTTGAGGGGCATTGTGGCGTGGAGGGATGAGGGGCGATAAGGAGACTGACTTTCTTCCTTCATTTTGATGTTGTACGGCAGGGCCGCGACGGAATTAGCGGGCATATCCGCCTCGGCTGAGAACCGATCGATGCTGGAATGTGTTCGCGATTGATGAATCGATGATTGACGATGGTTGATTGATGGAACTGACGTTCGTTGTCGTAGTGTGACCGCGTCGGGGAGACGTGTGGTGGAGCGGTGGTTGCGGAGCGGGAAGCAGGAGGAAGTGGACCATTCCGTCAAGGCGGAAACAGCAGGGCTGACCAACAGGGGTCGAGATTCGCGGGCGGGACCCAAGCTCGGTCCACGCTAAACCCTTTCAGGCTTCGAACACGTTCACCTCACTGCAGCGTCCGGTGTCGCCTCTCTGCTGTCCACTGTCAGGTCCCGATCTGTGCTGGAGCTTCAGTTGATCTGGGGAAGCTCTCTCAATCTAAACTTTCGTCTCAATCTTGATCCATTGCACCAACAACACTTTCCTGTCTTCTTGATTCTCGTGTTTATTGGATGTCGAGATCTTGAGCTTCAACTTGAACCGTACAATCTTCTTCTATTCACAACCAATCGCCCCCCAGGCTAAATGGATTCACCACTGCTCGAGGTCTGGCACGGCGCGTCTGCCAGCCCATTTCTCCCCACTATTGGCAAAGGCACCCAGTTCCCCGTTGCTTTCCTCCTCCTCCTTATCGGTTTCACCTTGACCGGCGCTTTTACTCTTAGTATGTGATTTCATTTCAAGCTTATCTTCTGTCTAATAAAGCGTGTACTGACCAGAAACCACTTTCTAGACCGGTCCATCATCAATCTGCCTCTCCTGGGCATCCCGGCTTCTTTGGCCTTTGCGTACGTCCCCGTTGTGCCTCGACTGTTTCCACTCAACATCCATTTTCCAACCCGACCACTCTTTCATCCTCACCTTCAACGCTGACAACTACTTGACGCAGATTCGGCGTTGTTTACATGTTCTGTGCGGTAGGAGTTTACGTTTAATACTGAGATACCCTGGAGAATCAAACAAGAAAGGAAGAGAAGAGCAGTCTCCTCGCAACTACGGACGCCCCGCGAGATTCTGTACAATACATAGAGTCCTATTCCAAAAAAAAAAGCAAGCCGATTTCTGAACATCACACGCCATCTTCCCTTTTACACCTTGTTAATCTTCCAGCAACATGTCACAACCAACTCAAGACGCAAGCGGGCCTCCCTTGTTCAGGGCAGTCACCAGCTCCACGCGCCCGCTCTACCAGCTCCTCAAAGCGATCGGCTTCACCAACAAGATCCACGTCGAAATCACCCCGGAGGGCCTCAGATTCGGCGCCGACCACGCTCGCGTCATGCAAGGCGCCGCCCATTGGAACAAGAACCTCTTCGCCAGCTACATCACCAACCTCCCACCCGCCCCTGCCAACAACGATGATGACGACGCCGCCACGGACGATCCCGAGCCCGTCTCCTTCCAGATCTCCCTCCCCGCCTTCCTCGAAACCCTCCAAATCTTCGGCGTCGCCGACGTCGCCGCCCGTCAATCCCGGCTCGACATCGACCCCCTCGCGCGCGGCAACCCGCGCCTAAATAACCAGCACCGGACCGGCGGCGGCGGCGGTCATGGTTCCGACGCCTTCAGCCTCCAAACCCTCCACGGCTCATCCACCACGTCCTCCAACGGCACCTGCATCCTCAGCTACCCGTCGGACGGCGGGCCGTTCAGCATCATCCTCGACGAAGCGGGCGTCAAGACGACGTGCAACCTGACGACCTACCTGCCCGAGACGCCCGAGGACATACCCTTTGACGTCGAGGACCTGTCCTTCAAGGTGATCATGCAGGCGCGCTACCTGCTGGATGCGCTGGCGGAGGTGGGCAGCATCAGTCCGGAAAGGCTGACGATCGCGGTCTCGCGCAAGGAGCCCTACTTGAGGTTCAGGACGTCCGGGAGCCACAGCGGTACGGGAGCGCCCGGGGTGGAGAGCACGGTGGATTTCAAGCGCGGAAGGGATCTGTTGGAGACGTTCTCGGTTAGAGCGGTGGACAGGGCCAAAGGCGAGAGGAGATGGAGCCAAACGTTCAAGTTTGATACGATCAAGGCGGCGACCGAGGCCATGAAGATTGCGAGCAAGGTCAGCTTGAGGGGCGATGGGCAGGGTGTGTTGAGCATGCAGTTTATGGTGGAGGTGGAAGGGGCTGGAGGTGGTGGTGGTGGTGCGGGAGGGGGTGTTCCAGGAGGAGGAGTCGGGTTGAGTTTCTTGGACTTTCGGTTTGTGCCTTATGCGACGGATGGGGATGAGGAGAGCGATACTGAAGGGGAGGGTGATGATGTTGATATGGGTGATGTATGAGGTTCGCAGATAACAAATGTTGATGATGCGTGGCGATAGGAACTCATTTTTTACACTTGCTGCTCCTTCTCCCATATCGCGACATCTGGTTGATAACATTAGTCTCTGAACGTACATCACAAGCAAAGTTTTATGGTTTCATTGCTAGGCGAACGTACACCTCTGACTAACATATCAATCCGTGCTATCACCCTTCCTCATAAACCAACCACCACACCGCATCACGACATCAAGCGTTAACATCTCTGGTAGTAGTTAGTATATATAGTAAGGGCCTATAAACGCGGGTTCAAATCCTTAACTTCAAATGCAGAGGAAAAAACGAGAAGTTCAAAAAACTAAAAATTAAAGACAATCTAGAACACCCGCCTAGACACGATCTTGATTCTTCCCCCTAATTCGGTTACTGTTCCTATTCCCCGGATGCATCACGCAGTACGCTCAATTCTCCAGAGTCGAGGAACACCGTGCCCTCTAAGTACGATTGACAAGGACGCTTAGATAGACTGCAAATCACCCAAATCACCCAAATGGACTTGACATGTTGGGACTGGGGACAGACTCTCATCCCCCAAGTCCATTACACCCCAAGTAGCGGACAAGGACAGCAACAACAATCGCAATCGCTGGTTGACCCTGGAATGACACTGCGTCCTCGCTTCTGGGTGGTGTGGAACATTGGGTGTGCCTCTCTCACTTACAGATCGCAGACAATCTTTTTGCCAAGTGCTTTGTTCGAGATTCGAACGCGGCACGCCTCGAGCGGAGCGGCGGTCGTGGTGTGGTCGCCCACTAGACTGCTCGGCCAGCGGGTGACTGATTGTCTGGTTGGTGGTGGAAGGAAGGCGCGGTGGTGGGGGTTAAATACCGGATGGCAAAGGAGGGAGGGAGCGACCGAGGGTTGAGATGGGATGGAAGGTGCGGGAGGGTGCAGGTGTGAGACGAGTGGTGGAGAGTTTTCATTCACTCGAATGCTTGGAATAGGAGAAGAGAAGGGATGTTTGAAAAAAAAAAAAAAAAA